ATTTGATAACTCATTGTCTTTATTAAAAATTTGAAAAAAAAAAATATTTCATCACTAAAAGAAAAAAAAATTAATTTTAAATTTTATTTTTTTTAAGTTTTAGATTTTTTTGAAATTTTTTATTTTTTTGAAATTTTTTATTTTTTTTTTTTTTGTTGAAATTCTTTTAAAATTCTCGACAATGCCAATGTGATCTGAAGAGCTTACATGATCCCTGTATAGACCGACCATCCATCTTTTAAGTGTTAGAAGACTATTTAAAACTTTTGCAAATAAAATTAGGGTTATTTTTCAAATACAATATTTGTAGGTATTATTTTCTGCATGTATAGGGTGGTATGTGTGAGTTTTTTTTTCTTTTGACATAGAAGGGGGATGATATATTGCTTAATATTTAATTTATGTTATAATATTTAAAAACCAAAAAAAATAGTATTATTAAAAAAATGAGTATCTTTTTTCACGAAATCATTTAATATCCAATTTAATTTGTCAAGCAAGATTGTAATAAATGGCAAGTATTGTGGTGATCCTTTTTTTTCAAATTTTGAAATTAAATTAAATTAAAAAAAATCATATTTTTAATTTTAGATTCATTAAATTTTTCGATTTTATCGAAAATGAATTTTTTGAGAAAAAAAAAGAGAATATCAGGAACCCCATTCAATCCCGAATTGGACTTGGAAGGGTATTGAAAATGATCACAAAAAAACATATTTTGAATTTTAAGAATTTATTAAAAATTCCGATTTTATCGAAAACGAATTTGGCGAAAAAAAATATTGAAAGAGAATATTAAGAACCCCATTCAAACTCAAAATTGGTCCTGCAAATGGTCATATTTTTTAATTTAAATTTTTAAGTTAAAAAAAAAACATATTTAAATTTTAAGAATTTATTAAAAATGTTGATTTAATCGAAAAAAAATTTTGGCGAGAAATAAAAAATATTGAAAGAAAATATCAAGAAACACATTCAACACCCAATTGGCTTTGGAAGGGTTTTGATCATTTTTTTTTTTTTTTTTTGAAAATAAATCAAGTGTCTAGTTGAAGAGGCTAAACAAAAAATTCATAGACCTGAGAGACTCAATGGGGCTTTTAAGATGCTTTGGGTCGAAATTCATTTCGCCTTTCTCAACAAAAAAAAAAAACTGAAAATTGAAAAGAAAATTTTGGTCGATAACTCAAGATTTCGGTTTTGGATTTATCGATCTTGCCACTGAATTGTATCAAAGTCGAAAATGTCTTTTAACTTGTCCTAAAAATCGCACGACCCATCTTTGTAAATTTTGCAATTAGACTTCTGGTTCGGTTTTTATTTCTGGTTCGGTTTTTTAAATCCCAACGTCATCCGTTTCCTAGGCAGAGAAAGAAATATTCATCATCGTTCATCTAGTCCAGAATCTATAAATACGAGAATACCACATCGCTGTCCATAACCCCTTAAGACTCAATTACACATAATGTTAGAATCATATGTAAAATGTTTTCATATTTTACATTTTTATAGCATACTTTAAGGAAACCCCAAAGAATTTTAAACTTATACCCTTGTGGGTAATATTTTTTTATATTAATTTATATTATATTATGAAGCATATTTTTCCAGATAAATAATTCTGGGAAGCCTGAGAGTATGCTATAAAAATGCTACAGATAAATGTAGTAAAAATCAATTTACATATGACTTTGACAACTCTTTCCAAAGCCTTTTTTGAATTCCTTTTTAACTCTCTTTCCTACAAACTTTTAAAGATTTTTATTTACCTAAATCTTTTGAAAGATATTTTATCCTTAGAAGTTCTTAGAAGACCAAAAAAAGGTTTTATATATATACATAAGGCATCGACGTAGTCAGGCGGCGAAATTAATTTATTTAAATATTTTTAGAGACTTATGGTTGAAAATCTCATTTTTTTCTCGGTTTCCCAACCTTGAAATAATTTTACAAGGCATTTCAGGCTACGTCGGTAATCTAAGGATTCATTTATCTGCGATATCAACGATATTCTAAATTCATTTTCTGTTTCTATCCCAACTCCTTCATAAAAGATTTCAAAAATCATGGAAGATCAATGAATGAATTTATGTTATCCGCAAGCAATCTAAGGACCCGCCTTCTTCATATATCTTTATCTTTAGAAGATTTCAAAAATCATGGGAGAACAATGATGAATTTTTATTCTTTAAAAGCAATCTAAGGACTCAGTCCTTTCCTTTTCCAAAAGAATTCCAAATCCATTATCTAGTTATTGCCTCAATTTCATCTCCTCCAGAAATATTTATATTTTACAGTCTTCCGAAAATTCTTCAAAAGTCTTCCAAAAATCCAAGGAAAATCTTTTTTTAATTTTCTCCAAAACAAATCTAATGACCCATTCTTTTTCTTTTCCAAAGGAATTTTAAGACCCATGAATACATTTATTTTTCAAAGTCTTCAAAAAAAATTTAATAGTATTCCAAAAATCCTTGGAAGATATTTCTTCAAAACAAATCTAATGACCAATTCTTTGCCTTTTTGAAAGGAATTAAAGTCCCAGGTATAGCTTATGGATTTTGTCCGTTATGGACACGTGATATATTTAATCTTTAGAAGTTTTTAAAAATATTGGGAGACCCCTTCAACTTGGAGATACCAATGCAAAATATCCATTTTCAGGTCTATTCGACATTTTAAATGAACCCCTTAATCGCTTGCCAAAAAAAGTCCTTAAAGCGTTTTTAAAATGCTCCAAAATGCCTTTAAAAGGATAAACTAAAGGTTTTCTGAAAGAAGAGTTTTGTTTTTCAACATCTTGAACCCAAAGAGGGGGAAGTACCAGAAGAAATGGTGCGATCTTCACCATTTTTATAACAGAACTTGTGTTAAAGGAAATATTCAGATGTATAAAGTCTGAATGGAATCGGACGTTATTTTCGCTTTTTATGAGCTTTATGCATACTCAAAATGTTGACTCTTGTCGGGGAGGTACCAGAAGGAGTGAACCGATATATCCCACACACCTTGGGTTAATAAATTTATTGTGATGTGTGTAATTTGAAGACAACTGGATGCCTATTTCGGATTTTATGTTATTTTTATTTTAACCTTTGTGGCGGATGTATCAAAAGAAATGGGCCGATCTCTACCATCTTTATAACAGATCTTGTGTTGTTAGAAATATTGCGATTACCAAGTCGGGAATGGAATCGGATGTAAATTTCGCGTTTTGTGAGCTTCATGGAATTTGAAAATTTTGACCTTTTGTGTGGGAGGTACCAGAAGGAGTTGACCGATATATTCCATCTTCACACCAGACCTTGGATTAATAAAACTGTTGCGATGTGTGTAATTTGAAGACAATCGGACTCTTACATCACATTTTATAGGAGTTATAATTATTCCAAATTTTGAACGTGTGAGGGGGAGGTACTTGATGGAGTGGGTTGATATTGTCCATTTTAGGTGACCAATAAAAATGCCTTTAGAAAGATAGCAGTTTCTTATAAAATGTTCTCTTTTGCATAAGAAAATGTGGGTTTTTCAATTTCAAAAATTCAATTTAAACAAGAATTTAAAAAATCCAAAAAGATAAGAATTCGAAAGGATTTCATCAACAATTGAAAGGAGGCCTGTGAACTTGTTGCTCTATTATTTTCCCTCAGACATATAGGTGACCAAGAAAAATTCCTTTAGAAAGGTAGCAATTTCTTATAAAATGTTCTCTTTTCCATAAGAAAATGGGCGTTTTTATAGCAAAAATTTCGCCGTTTGATGGCTAGTAGTTTTTAATTAGAAGGTCAGAGATTTTCTATCAGAGAATGACTGAAAGACTATCAATACGCCTATTATTAAAAAATTCACATCATATTTTAGGGGAGGACTCATAAGTATTTCTTTAGAAGGCAAATAACTCTTTGCAATTTCTATCTTCGGTACAACTATAACTTAGCTATATGTTCAAGTGAAAAAAGGTTATGAAATTTCCATATTAAAGTTTTTTACCTGAATTTTCTGGCATGAACCATTCCCCAACTTAAACAAGAATTTAAGAAATCCTAAAAGATAAGAATTCGAAAAGATTTCATCAAGAATTGAAAGGAGGGCTCTTCACTGGTCGCCCTACCCTATTCTTCTCTCTCAGAAGGTTAGGTGACCATTTTTTTTTCTTTGAAAGTATATCATTTCTACATGAGATTTTTTATATTACCCTAAATTCCATAAGATTTCATTAACAATTGAAAAGAGGGCTGTTGGCTTATCGCCCTATTCTTTTATCCTTAGAAAGTTAGGTGACCAATAAGAAATTCTTTTAGAAGGTAAGCAATTCCTCTTAAAATGAGATTTTTTTATATTGTCCTAAAATTTCCGGGAGTTAAAAATTTGGTTCTGATATTCTCTTTATTTTTTCTTTTTTTTTTTTCAAAAATTCCCTAAAAAAACCTTGAAATTTCTAAACGAAATATGCAATTAAAGAAAATAAATATTTTTTTTATTTCTTTGGTATTTAACAATGGGCAACAAATATTATTTATTCATTTTAGAAAATAACATCTGATTGGCATGGAAAATAAGTAATCGAGAAAAAAAAATAATAGAAAATTTAGAAAAAAAAAAAGGAAAAAATGTAAGAGAATTGTATTTTAGAGCAGAAGAAGAAATATTTTATGAGAAAAATTGTTGATTTTTATCATAATTGTTGATGTTGTCACATCTCCCCAGGCCATTTTCAACAAATTAGCCAAATTGGGGGTTTGTTTAGTTTGTTTTAAAATGTATTTTATTTAAAATTAAACGCAATCACAATCGGTGGTTTAGAAGATTTTTTTCTCTTTTTGTTGTTTAATGTATTTTATTTTATTTTTTTCGCGATGATTTACTTTCATGGGTTTTGTTGTTAAAATAATGATTTGTATTCATTAAATGGTTGTTGGTTTTTCATTGTGTTTTTTGATTGTTTTTATTTTAATTCAATAGATTACTTAAAAATAATTGAATTCAGGGGGGGGGGGTATTTGTGGGGGTGTGGGGCGTTTACTTAAATATTAAAAAATGGGAGTTTTTCATTAGCAAGTTTTCAAATTTGGGGGAATTTTGTTTCCATTGTTTTCCCCCATTTAACATGCTCTCTTTTTGCTTTTCTTTTCATATATATATTTTTTTTGAGTTACAACTAAATTATATTTTAATTTAATAATCATTGTCTTTTTTCGTTTGTTTTGCTTTTTTCATAGTTCAATGTTTCAATTCAATTTTTTTTTATTTATTTTTTATATAATACATAAAACAATTCGAGTTGTTTTTCTGTTTTGCCTTTTTTCATTTGTTGTTGTTGTTGTTTTCGTTTTTTATGTATGTAGCTAATAGTAGTGTTTGCTTTTCATATTAGATTTTTGTTGTAGGGGTTTTGTTTTTTAATAACTAAAATGCTTAGGCATTACCTTAAAAACTAAACAAACTAAATCTAAAAGAAATCTGAAACGGGCGTTGATAATTTACAAATTATTTTCTTCTTTTTTGTTGTTGTTGTTTCTTTGATTTTGTGTATTTTGTTTATAAATTAAAGAAAAAAAAGTAGAGAGGAAGAATTAAACACATATAACAAGTTTCTTACAAAAGCCCCCTCCATTTTGAAGAGTCTTAAAAAGGCTTTCAAAGAGTATTTGCAGGAAGAATAGGTATATATGAAGATCAGGGGGAGGGGATGTGTTGTGTTATTGATACTGCTGCTGTTGGGTTTCTTTTGCCAGCCGAGACTTAAACATACATGCCCATGCCATACACTGAACTCCAGTCCACACCCTGAAAACTTGACATGTCAACATTTGTTAAGGCATAACTTTGATATGGATTGGTGGCGGCATTCAAGGGATTTGTCGAGGCTACCAAGGCGGCTTGTTGAGCCGCTGCAGCGGCCAAGGGATTTGTTACGGCTGTAGTACCATGACCAGCACTGGCAGGTTGTGTTCCAGCAGCGGCGGCATGCAATGCCGCATTGTGGGCCTGAGTGGCTGCTGCCACAGCAGCTGAATTGCTGGCGGCCGTGTGTTGTTGGGCAGCAGCAGCGGCTGCATTTTGTTGTTGTTGATGCTGATGAACGGCCACGGCCTGTTGCTGTTGATGATGTTGTTGTTGAGCCTGGGCCAGGGCAGTAGCGGCGGCTGCTGTGGCGGGTATGGGATAGGGTGAATAACTGCAATAAAAAGGGGGGAAATTAATTAGATTTTAGTAAAAATGAAGCATACTTTTAGGCGCATGTAAAACATTTAAATTACTTGTCAGATATTGAAAGGTTTCTTGGAATTAAAGGCAGAAAACAAACTGGGGATAGTCCAAAAAATACTCTATAGGTCTCCCCAAGAAAGATCCGAGGACTAAAAAGTTCCAAAAAGTTTCCTGGGCCTTCTATAAGAGGAGGGCATGATTTTTATGTATAGACATTCATCTAAGATCTCTTCTGTATAGATCTTAAATTACTCTTTCCAAGACTTTTGTACGGACAAAAGATCTCCACAAGGCCAAGGGCAAAAAACTTCCAAAAGGTTTCCTGAGTCCTTCTTTAAAGGGAGAGGCATGATCTTTAATGTATAAAATACATTCATCCAACATATCTTCTGTATAGATCTTAGATGACTCTTTCCGAGACTTTTCTATGGACAGAAGACCTCCTCAAGGGCAAGGGCAAGGACAAAAAACTTCCAACATATTTCCTGAGGCCTTCTATAAAGGGAGGGTATGACCTTTTATGTATAAAAGACATTCATCCAAGATCTCTTCTGTATAGATCTTAGATGACTCTTTCCAAGACTTTTCTATAGACAGGAGATCTCCTTAAAGGTCTTGCAGAAGTTTTTCTAAGGGTCTTCTATAAACTGAAAACCTTGCAGGTCTTCCAAATAAAGACCCGAGGGCAGAAAATTTATCCTGAGGTCTTATATTAAGGGAGGACATGATCTCATATAAAAGACATTCTGCAAACAGAAGAGATTATAATTGCCTCCTTCCAAAGACCTTCCAAACCTTTTCCATAAACAGAATAGCTCCTCAAAGGTCTTTCAGAAGTCTTTCTAAATGTCTTCTTTACACTGAAGGCCTTGCAAAGATCTTCTCTACACAGAATTCCGTCTTGAGACCTTCAATTATTGCAGAGATCTTTTTCAGGTTTTATAATGAAGACAATCTGAAAGTGTTTACTTACAAAACAGCTTCTCTAGAGGATTTTTTATATAGAAACAAATTTTCTAGAGGCCTTCAATACACTTAAGTCTCTAAAGATATATTCTCTACAAAGAAATCCTTCCTCAGACCTTCTTAACATAGAAAGATCTTTTAGATAACTTCAGTGGGGAAGACTTCTAAAGATCTTGTATTAACGTTAGAATAACCTTCTGCAGAGGTATTCTAGACGCAAATGACCTTCTGGAGGTCTTAAATATGAAAAATACCTTCTAGAGGTCTTCTTTGCACAGAAGAGGTAGAGGTCTTCTTTCGAAGAAAATTTTATAGAGGCCTACTATAGCCTGGAAACCTTTTGGAAGTACTCTATACCATGACATTCCAGAGGTCTTCTATACACAGAAGACCCTCCAGAGGTCCTTCTTTGGACAGACGAGTGAGAGATCTTCTTTTGAAGAAAATTTTATAGAGGCCTAATATAGTTGAGAAACAATTTGGAAGTACTCTAGACCAAGACTCCTTAGATGTCTTAAATACACAGAAAACCCTCCAGAGGTTCTTCTTTTCACAGAAGAGTTAGAGGTCGTCTATCGAAGAAAGTTTTATGGAGGACCTTCCAGAGGCCTTCTATACACAGAAGACCTTCAAGAGGTCTTATATTGACAGAAGACCTTCCAGAGGTCTTCTATACACAGAAGACCTTTCAGAGGTCTTCTATACCCAAAAGACTTTCCAGAGATCTTCTATACCCAAAAGACCTTCCAGAGATTTTCTATACCCAAAAGACCTCCCAAAGATATTTTTTACTCAGAAGACATTCTAGAGGTTTTCTACACACAGATGACCTACTAAAGGTCCTCTGTATTGAAAAGTTCTGGTAGAAGCCTTCTCTCCACAAAATATCTTCCAGAAGTCTTTCTAGAGGCCTACTATAGACAAAGAAACCTTCTGGAAATATCAGAGGTCTTCTATTCACAGAAGACCTTTCAGAGGTCTCCTATACCCAAAAGACCTCCCAAAGATCTTTTTTACTCAGAAGACATTCTAGAGGTGTTCTATTCACAGAGGACCTACTAAAGGTCTTCTGTATTCTGTATTTTACACAGAAAACTTTCTAGAGGCTTACTATAGACAAAAAAAAAACCTTCTGGAAGTACCAGAGGTCTTCTATACACAGAAGACCTTCCAGAGGTCTCCCATACCCAAAAGACCTCCCTAAGATCTTGTTTACTCAGAAGACGTTCTAGAGGTCATTTCTATACACAGATGACCTACTAAAGATCTTCTGTATCGAAAAATTCTGGTAGAGGCCTTTTCCATAGGTCTTCTATAAACAGACAACTTTAGACAAAGAAGCCTTCTGAAAGTACCAGAGGTCTTCCGTACACAAGGAGTCCCCAAGGGTCGCAAGGAACTCCAAGATATATTTTATACACAGAAGACATTCTAGAGATGTTCTGTACACAGAGGACCTACTAAATAGCCTTCTGTATTAAAGTTCTGGTAGAGGCCTTCTCTCTGCAAAAGATCTTCCAAAGGTCTCCTATACACAGAAAACTTTCTAAGGCCTACGAGGCCTTTACACCAATTTTTGGTATCTTCTATACACAGGCAGAGATTATTTAGAGGTGTTCTAGAGGTTTTCTATACCATGAAGACCTTCTAGGGTCAATGTTCCTCTATCCAAAAACGACTTTCTGACGGTCTTTTAAAAGCAAAAGAATTCTAGTAGACTTCCATACACAGAATTTCACCAGAAGGACTTCCATAGATACAAAAATATATTTTACAGGCCTTCCATGTTGAGCAATTCTCCCTTGTTCTGCCATACTCTCAAAGAAATATTTCGAATCTGACACAATAAAAATATCATTTTTTTGTTAATATACTTACCGCACACTGTGTAATGCTGCTTGAGGATATGTCGATAACAATTTGCCAAAACTACTCTGATTCGCGGCCACAGCTGCGGCGGCGGCATTTTGTACTTGGAAAGGATTTTGTGAAATGAGAGCAGCCTGTTGGGCAGCTGCTGCCGATGCCGCTGCACCCGAGGCGGCATGCAATTGTAACTGGGCCGGTGAGGGTAAGATGGCAAATTGATTCATGGCCTGTACTCCGGCTGCTGTGCGGGCACTCAACAATTGACCCGGCCCGGTGGGTATGGGTACACCCAAGGTGCCCAACATAATACGTTTCTGTAAAAGTTGAGCGGCTGGTGTTACGGCTTCTTTGGGTTGGGCTTTTTTACATTCCACCTTCTTGTTTTTGATGGTATGGAAATGTATTTCACACACCCGATCGACGACATCTTCATTTTCGAATGTGACAAAACCGAAACCACGATGACGTTTGGTCTGTTGATCCATTAGCATAACGGTCTCTTCAACGGTCCCAAATTGATTGAAATAGGCCTTAACCTCATCGGCGGATGTGTCCTGTGAAACACCGCCGACAAATATCTTTTTGGTTTTATTCGATTGCCGAGGGCGATTTTTGGGTGTGGCATGTTTCGGATCGATTTTCTTGCCATCCAATGTGTGTATGGGTACCTTGAGAACCTTGTCAACACTGCAGGGTTCTTGGAATGTTATGAAGCCAAAACCACGACTACGCTGTTAGTTTTTAAAAAGCGAGAAAAGTAAAACAAAAGATTATTAATTGAAACTGAATTTAGAAATATTTTCAAATTTAATATTATTTTACATTACAGCTACAAAACTTTTCTGACAAAATATATTTATTTATATAGAGACCAACTAATCTAAATAGTTTGTATTTTTTTGGTAATAAATTGTTTCGAATAAATCTAAAATTCCAAAGATTTTACTTCCTAAAAATTATATGACCACAAGAAAGGAAATATTGTTTTGATTTTTTCCAATGAATCCAATTTTATACAAAATAGAGAGAACGACCAATGACAAATAGAGTTTTGTTGTTTTTGTTTTCGTAAATAAATTTGCTATTTTCATTACATGTACATACATCACAGAAAAAAACGTTTTGATTCTAAAGAGTATATGTACACCATTTTCACATGTAAAATTGCCAATATTTTGCGGAACTTTGGAAAAATTCTAGAATATATTTTTATAATTCATAATAAGAACATTAATCAGAATATTATGGATCAGAAATTCATTAGACTTCTTGAAAGCAAAAAATAGCAAGGATAAAAAATTGCCTACTCTTGGGCGCCAAACATTTTTTTAATTCATTTTTCCTAAATATCCAAACTCTGGTATCGAAAAGGGTCTTAAAGCAGAAGATACTGCATCTTTATAGGCTAAGATCGGCTGATAACATTTTAAGTGGATGTGTCTGCTTTAGCCTAAAATCTGCCTAAAAGATTGCATACTTTTAGGAGTCAAAAAGTATTTATTTATTTTTTGGACTAATTCTACTCAAGTGGAATAGATCTTGGTATGGTTTACAGATTAAAGAATACTCAACAGGTCTTCCCAAAAAAGACCAGAGGGCAAAAAAGTTCCAAAAAGTTTCCTGAGGCCTAAGGGAGGGCATAATATTTTATGTATAAAAAACATTCATCTTAGATCTCTTCTGTATAGATTTTAGATAATTTCTTCCAAGACTTTTCTATAGACAGAATATCTCCTCAAAGGCAAGGGCAAATAAAAAAGTTTCCTAAGGCCTTTTATAAAGTAAGAGCATCATCCTTTATGTATAGATCTTAGATGACTCTTTCCAAGACTTTTCCTATAGACAGAAGATCTCCTCAAGGGCAAATAACTTCAAAACGGTTCCCTAAGGCCTTTTATAAAGGGAGGGCATGTTCTTTTATGTATAGATCTTAGATAACTCTTTCCAAGACTTTTCTATAGACAGAAGATCTCCTCAAAGGTCTTTCAGAAGAAAAGTATTTTTGCTATTTATTTTTTAGACTAATTCTACTCAAAAGGGTGGAATAGATCTTGGTATGGTTTATAGATTTCTTTCATACACATCTAGGATATGTTTCAATCTCGGATGGGTCTCCCAGTTTGGTTCCAACAGGTGTTTATACCCTACACCATATAGTGGTAAGGGTATTATGTCTTTGTGCATTTGTTTGTAACATGGAGAAGGAAACGAGATAGACCCATAGTTACTTTTGAGAACCTTCATAGAATCACTTTCTGAGTCGATTTATGCATGTCCGTCCGTCTGTCCGTCCGTCCGTCCGTCCGTCCGTCCGTCCGTCCGTCCGTCCGTCCGTCCGTCCGTCCGTCCGTCTGTCCATGTATTCTTGTGAACAAAATGCAGGTCGCATTTATTATCCGATTGAGATGAAATTTTCCAAACAATATTTTTTTGGCCCAAGGACGAACCCTATTGAAATTGGTGAGAATCGGATCAAATTTAGATATAGCTCCCATATATATCTTCATCCGATTTCGGGTTAAATGAGCACCAAATGTCCACTATCAGTCCAAATTACCTGAATTTTGGCACACCCAACCGAGTTCGGCCTAGAAGCAAGTATATCAAATTTGGAGAAAATCGGTTCAGATATAGCTATAGCTCCCATATATATCTTTCATCCGATTTGATCTTTAAGTCCCTCACATTCCTACTATGCACTCCACAACCGTGATATTTGGTACCAGGTATTAGATGGAGCACAGAAATAGCTGTTTTAAATTTTATCGAAATCGGTTCAGATTTGGATATAGCTCCCATATATATCTTCATCCGATTTCGGGTTAATTGACCACCAAATGGCCAATATCAGCCCAAATGGCCCGAATTTTGGCACATGTGACCGAGATTAGCCTTAAAGTAAATACAACAAATTTGGAGAAAATCGGTTCAGATTTGGATATAGCTCCCATATATATCTTCATCCGATTTCGGGTTAATTGTGCTCCAAATGGCCGATATAAGCCCAAATGGACTAAAATTCATCGGACCGAATTCAGCCTAGAAGCAAGTATATCAAATTTAGTGAAAATCGGTTCAGATATAGATATAGCAACCATATATATGTTTCATCCGATTTAGTGTTTTAGTCCCTTACATTCGTAATGTTCACTCCACAACCGTGATATTTGGTACCAGATATAAGGTACAGCCCAGAAATAGCTGTTTGTAATTTTATCGAAATCGGTTCAGATTTGGATATAGCTCCCATATATATCTTCATCCGATTTCGGGTTATTGACCACCAAATGGCCGAAATAGCATCAATTTTGGCAAATCCGACCGAAACCAGCTTAGAAGCAAGTACACAAATTTTAGTAAAAATCGGTTCAGATATAGCTATGGCTCCCATATATATGTTTCATCCGATTTCGTCTTTAAATCCTATGCACTCCACAGAAATGATATTTGGTTCCAGTTATCAGATAAAGCCCAAAAATAGTTGATTTAAATTTTATTAAAATCTGTTCCGATTTGGATATGCCTCCCATATATATCTTCATCCGATTTCGTGTTAATTGTGCATCAAATGGCCAATATCAGCCCAAATGGCATGAATTTTGGCAAATTCGACCGAAACCAGCCTATAGGCAAGTACACACATTTTAGTAAAAATCGGTTCAGATATAGCTCTAGCTCCATATATATGTTTCATCCGATTTGCTCTTTAAGTCCCTTACATTCGTAATATACTCTTCACAGGAATGATATTTGGTACCAGATATCAGATAAAGCCCAAAAATAGTCGATTTTGATTTTATAAAAATCTGTTCAGATTTGGATATAGTATAGCATAGCATACTCTTCACAGGAATGATATTTGGTACCAGATATCAGATAAAGCCCAAAAGTAGTCGCTTTTAATTCTCTCAAAATCTGTTCAGATTTGGATATAGCACCCATATGTATCTTCATTCGATTTCGAGTTAATTGTGCAACAAATGGCCAATATCAACCGAAATGGCATGAATTATGGCATATCTGGCCAAATTCAGCCTAGCAGCAAGGACACCAATTTTAGTAAAAGTCGTTTCAGATATAGCTATAGCTCCCAAATAAATCTTCATCCGATTTCGGATTAAATGTGCAGCAAATGGCTAATATTGGTACATCAAATTTGGTGAAAATCGGTCGGATACAGCTATAGCTCCTATATATACCTTTCATCCGATTTGTACTTTAAGTCCCTCAAATTCGAAAAATGTACGATACTAGAATAATATTTGGTATCAGATGCAGCCAAGAAATATCTTCTTTTTCAGTTTTACAAATATCGGTTCAGATTTGGATATACCTCCTACATATATTCATCCAATTTCGTGTTGATTGCGCACCAAATGTCCAATATCAGCCCAAATGTCCTGGGTTTTGGCAAATCTGACCGAATTCAGCCTAGAATCAAATACATCAAACTTGGTGAAAATCGGTTCAGATATAGCTATAGTTCGTAAAATGCACGATAGAATTAGATAGATTTTGATTTTGTACCAAATATCTCATAGAGCTCTGAAATGCTCTGTATAAACCTTTTTACGAGAGCTCTACTAAATATGCATAGTGGTGTAGGGTATCATATAGTCGGCCCCGCCCGACTTTTGAGCTTTCCTTACTGGTTTTACAAAGGGTCTGTGTGATAAAGAATGGCACACCGAATAACTCGTGGTTATGATTGGATTATCAATTCCTGACAATTTTGCTGTCTTTGCTAGACTTATTTCAAGGCAAAATAACTACAAAATTGACTCTTTTGTCGTTTTTCAAGAAGTCTCTCTAGATATATTCTATACACATAAACCCTTACTGTGACCTTCTATACCCAGAAGACCTCTCATAGGTCTAGGGATCTTTTATACGCAGAAGACATTCTAGAATTGTGCTATACACAGTGGAACTACTAAAGGTTTTCTATATAGAAAAGTTAAGGTCAAGGCTTTCCCTCAACAAAACTTCTTGCAGAGGTCTTCTATACTTTCTAGAGGCTCACCATAGACAAAGAAACCTTTTGGAAGTACTCTTTACACACTATACCCACATAGACGTCTTCTATACACGTTGTTTTGGGATTTTTTTTTCACAGGCAGAAATAATTTAGACGTTTTCTAGAGATCTTCTATACCCTGGAGACCTACTCTCCAATGGGTCGAAAGGAATTCGAAGAAGACTTCTATCCACTTATTTATAAATTTGGGTCCCTTATATGTGGGCCTCTTTTATCCTTTCTCCCTTTCTCTTTTATCCAAAGGACAAGGATCGACCAAATCCCACAAGTTTGAGGTCTATAGATCATACAACATCTAGAAAGACAACCTAAAGGCTTCTAAAGATGGAAGACCTTCTATAATTATTCTGAGAGAAAAAAACATTCTGTAAGTCTTCTGGGGGAAGAAGTGTTCCTGCACGTTTTTTCCACGTCATTTGTAGGCTGTAAGTTTCACAAATGTATTCTATGGACAAAAGATAAGGATCAATCAAATTCCACTGATCTGCTATCTATAGATCGAATAACTTCTAGAAAGACGAGCTCAAGGTTTCTTAAATAGAAGATATAGATATAGACAAAGGACAAGGATCAACCAATTCCAACTCCCAAGGATCAAACCTTCAGCAAGTTTTCTGAGGGAAGACGTCTTCCTTCAGGTTTTTTACATGTCATCTGTAGGCTGAAAATCCCACAGATCTGAGATCTATAGAT